TACTTTACTTTAACCATTTTCAATTGTTCATCCGCACTACGTTCATTTTCTGTTACCAACAACACATTTCTGTTAGGTTCAACTGATGCCTGCCGGGAGTGAATGTAGTGAAAGTTACGCTTTACTGCTATTTCAATTAATTCACTTTCACTTGTCATTTCAGCCTATACTGTGCTTATATGTTGAATAAAGCCTATCCTTAGGCGAAGTCTTCTCATTCTACTCAACGGATCAATAGTCGATTAACTAAGTCATCGACTCCCACTACAACATGCAAACATAAATCTCCGACTCTGTAGGGGGTTCCATGTCCACCGTCCCGGGTTGTACGTCAACTATGGGCTCTACATGAGTGGCAGCCGGTGGTCACGATTACTATTCTTCGAAGCATTCGGCCCACCGGTCGAGGCATTCTTCTTTATCATCTGATCAAATGAAATAATCTTTGGACATTCCCGGCTTTCTGTGTGCACCACACTCTTCTTTACAATAAGGCCTTCGAATAAATCATGGTTGTACGGCAGTGAAGCATCAGTGTTGAACACTGATGTCATGCTGTCGATGATGATGTGCACCACACTTCAAGGCAGGCTCGTACGCTCACTTCTACTTAACATCTGATAATTTGTCGTTATGTTCGGGACCCGTTAATATATTTCTCCCAGGTTTAAGCACTGTCACTATTCGGTATGATTTCCAGTACCTGAGTGAGCTGGTGGCGCCGTGCCACAGGCAAAACTCCCAGCACTGTGCAGAGAGGCGGCGATCTCGTCCCAATATGAATTCACATCTGACGGCGGAGCATCTGGAAGAGACTTTAGATGATTCTGATGCATTCGCCTAACACCCGGATCTGCCAGTCTCTCAGTTGCCAGGCCATTTTTCCACACCTTAAGCAGCTCTGCAAAACAAAGGGAGAAGCAACTCAGGGCGAATTCATGGTGGGAATCCATAAATCTGTTCCAAAACGAGTGGTAGTCAGCTAGTGATCCACGCCGTTGGTAACGGACGGCAAGGTGAGCGATTTGAGTTCATAACTGGCACGTAGTTGGAAGACACCAGGTGGCCAGATGACTTCCGCTATTTCGGAAGTCAATACTGCATACAAACAACTTGCGGTCAGCGTATAGCTGAAGTCATCGTTTACCACGAGTCCAATCTATGTCGGCCTCCTAACTCAGTCGTTAAGCTGCAACATTCCACCGGTTCCTACCTACAATGTCACCCTAAGCAAGCACGAGAACTGGGATACTGCCAGGTCGCCCAAGTCTGGACGGAAGTTGAGATGCAGAGGTCGGGTTCAAACCACCGATCTTCCGGCCAGTAAATTCGCGCTCTAACCTCTGAGCCATCTCGCCTTCTCAGATATGCAGAGCCTGTCGACTTGTGCATTCAGATCTCGAGAAACCAAAAAGGGTGTTCGATCTTTTGGCTCGCCGAAACAGGAGCACTCAGTGCATCACAAGACTTGTATTTCATGGTGCCAGAGCTAGTCAGTTAGGGGGGGCAAGATTACTCAAGTGGCTAGAGCGCGAATTTACCCTCCGCAAGGTCCATGTTTCGAACATGCCTCTCGACTTCCCCTGCCTTGGCTTGGGCAACCTGGCAGCATCTCAATCCTCGTGCTTCCTTCGGGTAGCATGGTGGCTAGACAGACGCAATACAGACATCGATCAACTTCCTCCTTTGGAGACTCCTTCGCAGACGTTGCAGTACGAACCGCGCAGAGGCAATTACCAACGGGTATCCAGTCAAGCAAGGATCCTTCAGTCACATGACTTAGGACGATACCAAACCGTCTATCCTGCCACAGCAGCCTCTGGATCACCAGAGGTACTTAGCCATGAATGGATGGAGGGCGATGGGGTGGTTAACTCAACCACCGTGATTGCATCTTGAATTATCGTTCCTGCTATACAGAACACATTAGTACCAAGTGAGTCCAGTGTGAGAGCCAGAGCAGCTTGCTGATCTGCTTGCTTCAGAGTGCCAAACGAACTGGGTATCGGGGCTTGAAGATTGAGGATGTCGGCGCCGGAGGACGCGCAGTTGTTGTTGCAAAACCAATGCAGGAAGAATAGAGCAATCGGTCCTAGGTGCTGGGCCTATGAGGAGAGTAATAATGGATAGGGAGAGGAAGAAGAAAAGTATGCGAAAGAGAAAGAAGGGAGGCGTCAACAGTAGTCTGTTTTCGCTTACCCGCCCTGCTGTATGCAGAAAGTGAGGCGACCAGGCTAATGGCATGCGACGGCCGATATGGCGTAAGTTTATATGTATATGCGCAATTCATGATTGTACATGGGCTCGGATACTTCAGGGACGCCAATATCTGGCAGAGGGTCTTCTGGAGAGTGGAGAGATGTGTGACTGTTGGGTAAAGATAGAGCATGTGTGGATGCGGATACAGGTATTACAGGCCAAGCATTCGTAGCCACTAAATGGTTAGGACAGGGCAACCTATTGCTTTGCGTGGCCCAGTACAGTTTTTCTGACACTGTCTGGGTAATTGTCGAATTGCAGATCGTGGTATGGATAGGGGCTATCCTCGTTCCTCACAGGTGTCGGGACACCAGAACATGTTCTATGGAAGTGCAATAACGATTTCAACTAATCGGGTATTTTAGAAACACGCGTCGTCGGAAGATGGGTGTCTAAAAGCAATTGAGAGTGAACATCGATTCAGGAAAATTTAGAAACGAACCAGCCTGGCTCAGATGTCGTACCGTGCGCCACGGTCAACCGCCCTAGTCGTTCCCCGGGTTAGTCTGGGATATCCTCGGAAAGAAACCTCATCAGCCCTGGTCTAGTATGCAAGGCTGCACATCACCGATACTTAAGAATAAACCAAATCGACGGATGCCGTGGTCAACAACAAGAAACGTCCATGTGGCGTGGGATGTCAGGAAGTCAGTGGTATTCGAAGTTTGCGAGGATGTAGTGACGGCACATGCCGGCTCATGCACTAATATACACGGCAGAGAACCGTATAGGTTATATAATAAACACGTTTAAGCAAGTACAGTCCAGTCTCAACTGCGCTATAGTGCCTCTCCCGAGCCTGAGCACTGTCCTCAGTGCTTGAAAAGTGCTTGTAACACGTGTACTTATTCTCACTGTTTGGCTAACAGGTGAAGGAGAGTAGAACGTTGAGGGTGGGTCAGGGTCATGTGGAAGGATGGCCTTTACTGATAGCAAAATAGAGAATGCACGTCAATATGTGGTTGACAAGGGTCTTGAATGACGTGGGCGCTTTTTTTGGTGTGGGATGAATCGCTGCTCAGGGGTGTCCAAAAGCAGTCAAAGGCCGCTGGCGCATGGTCAGATCGGGACAAAAATCTCTTTGAGTGAGGAGAATTAATCCCCGCTCCTTGTGTGATCTGAAAAGCTCTTTTGCTTGGCTGCAGTCGGTGCGACACGTCACTCACGTTGCCTCCTGAGTTGGCAACTTTAAGCGGGTCTGGTCAACAACAGGATGTCGGTCCCGGAAGTGTTGGAAGTGGCAACGAGTCTTGGGTTCCACGGGAGTCAAATTCGGCGAAATGACCGAAACTGCACCTGTTTGATAGATAGCATCTTCTGTGTGCCCAACTGGTGAGATGACCGCTTCGTTGACCACTGTGTTAAGGTTCATAGTATATGTGGTGTCCATTTCCATCCGCGCACTGAAGTACACGTTTGTTGCAGCTTGCTGTTTACAGTTCGATTGTTGTCATCGTCTTCAATGTGGGGTGCTGGGTTCCGCTGAACACCACCACCACGAGGACGACAAAGAACTCGTGTTCTGCAGTTGGCATCCTCTTCATGCACTTGCTTCGGGATAAAGTCACAGTTCATATGTTCTATTCCGTTTCCCTTAGCGGCACTTCTTTATTATCAACTTCATCATCGGGACTTAGATATGCAACTTGTGTAAAACCGCGTGTACTACTAAGTTGTGCGACTGGTTTTGTTGTATTTACTGTACCCAAGTCTGGATTCATTCCATCAGGTGTGAAAATCGAGGAAGAAAAACTGCGGTCCTGGGGATGGGGGCGAAACATCGATGCGTTGGAAAGAGGGTTCACGCTGGACGAGCGTTGAGGGACACTACGCGTTGGTCGTGCGTCACACAGGCAAAAGTTAGTCCAGTGGGTGTTCGGTGATGCAAACAGCGAAACGCCTGAATAGAGTACGCGGCGGGCGGCAGGGTGATCTAGATAGGACAGTGGTACTGTGGATGGTACCGTGGTACTGTGGATGTACCAATGGAAGGAACGCCTTCATTCGAACCGACCAAAGTGTGAAGTCGTCGCCCAGGTGGAACGTTTCTGGCTCTTGTAGAGGTGGCTGGATATGGGACATAATCAATAATAAAATGCCAGCCGATTTTCCGACAGTTTTGTCGTCGTGTGTCGTCAGGTTCGGCAGGAAGATCGTACGTGAATCTCAAAGCTGACTTGATCCTACATCTGTCACTATAGTGACATTAAATGTAGCGTGGCCACGCCACATCCCGAGATGTCAGGAAGTCAGCGGTATTCGAGGATATAGTGACGGCCGCGCCGTCTCATGCACTAATATGCACGGCAGAGAAGCGTATAGGTAATACGATAACACTCGTAAGTACGTACAGTCCAATATCAACTGCCCAACATCTATGTAGCGTGGGACGTCAGGAAGTCAGCGGTATTCGACGCTCGAGAGGATGTAGGGACGGTACACGTCAGTTCTGCAATGTGCAGATATACGGCCTGGTATTAATGAATCCACACAGTATACACAGCACACATGCGCACAGGTCGGGTGGTACAGGAAAGAAGACCGGAGTGTAGCAACAACGCACGTGTATTAACCCGAACCGAAACCGGAAGACAGGGGTGTACCAAGTTGGGTCAAGGTCAATTGGGGGGGTGTACAAGCGGGATACTCTTCCCTGTCTACAGCCCGTGTTGACTCGTCCGTGGTACCTGCAATAGGGGAAGAGAAGGGGGAGAGGCACATATAATGTCATATGATAGACATACGATCAGGTACAGTCGGGTTTCAAATGCGTTACACCTACTTATTTCTAACCACGCGCTATACCCATTGGTCGCCTCCTCGTGAGGTCAATTAGTTCATTGGCTACTTAGCATAACCAAACAACTGATTCAGCGGTTTCGCATTAGTAAGGTGACGAATTTCAGACCCGAGTGGCAGAGTCCTCGATGCAATTTCAGCTCACAATTTCGATATCAGTAGAGGGAGGCAAGGGGAACAGCCCTATAATTACAATTGGATGACCTACTCCTGCGCAGTCTGTGGGCAAATAGGTCTCAGGATCTCATGGATTCACGGATTCATCGATCAAGACTTTTGTCCTAACTTCCCGGGTCGGTTTCGTTCTTGTCGTTCAAGGGCTGTCGTTTACCTGAAAAGCACAAGTGAAAAAGGAGTGTAGCACTGCTCTTTATGTTGTAGTGGTCTGGCTACCCAATAAGTTAGTTTGCCAGGAGTGTGTGGCAAAGAAATAAAAATAGTAACGCCGGGTTGGACATACAAAAATAAAGAGGTCAGATGGGACAGACCAGCTAACAATTGTTCTCTTTAAAGTAGTTCGTCGTTGGCCCGGCGTCAGCGAACAAACGATAATCCAATTACGTTGGTCCAGAGGTCTTCTTCTGAACAGTTCCCACATGTAATGGATTCCGAAGATGTCTGAAATGTTTTGGTACCAGAGTTAGTACATGGGACTCGCGAATGACCGCTGCAAGCGCGAGCGAAATCAGAAGAGAGAGTCGAAGCAC